AAGTGTTTACTCTCATTTGTGATTCCTGGATTTTATATAGGTTCAGAAAGTCATGTGTGCAAGGGTACGACGTGAAAGTAGAACTGTCTAAGGGGGTAAAAGGAACTAAGGAAGAGGGAAGAGGGGAGGGAGACATAGGGAAGAAGGGGGAGGGGAGGGAAGGGAAGCACAGGGGGGGAGGGGAGTGGAAAGGGGGCAGGGAAGGAGGGGGAGGGGAGGGGAAGGAGAGGGAGGAGAGGGGAAGGTCCCTGGCAGGGGCATGGTGAGAAGACCTGAGAGGTGCCATGGGTACTGAGTGAGCCTGGAGACCTGTGTTTGCTTTGATAGGCAACACAGTTAACCATTTGTCCTGAGTTTCATTGGGATCTGACACACATGCATATATGTATGAATGTGTGTATGTATATATGCATGTATGTATGCATGCATGCGTGTATATATGCATGCATGTATGTATGTATGCATGCATGCATGCATGTATATATGCATGTATGTATATATTTTGTATGTGTGTATGCATGTGCACCATGTGTTTGCCTGATACCCTTCAAGGCACAAAGAGGATGGTGGATCCCCTGGAACTGCAATTACAGACTCCAGTTGTGGGCCACTATGTGGGTGCTGGGGACCAAACCTGGGTCCTCTGGAAGAGCAGCAAGGACTCTTCACCACTGAACCATGTTCCAGCTCTTCGATTTTCTTTTTTAAGAAATAGAAATAGAGACAGTATGTTAAGAAGAGGAAGGCAGGCCGGATGTGGTGGCACAGGTCTTCAATCCCAGCACCCCAGAGGCAGAGGCAGGCAGATCTTTGTAAGTTCGAGGCCAGCCTGGTCTACAGAGTGAGTTCTAGTGCAGCCAGAGCGACATAGTGTGTCCCTGTCTCTAAATAAGTAAGTAAATAAATAAATATAAAATAAGAGGAGCGCACCCATAAGAAGGGAGTGGACAAGGATTCGGGGAACAGAACGGACTCAAAAGCTGTGAGAATGTTGTAAGGGACTGGGATTGTAGCCCAGTTGGTAGAGTGCTTGCCTGACATGCACAAAGCCTGGGTTGGATTTCCCAGCACTGCATAATAAAATCAGGAATGCTGGTATACTGTCTCAATCCCGGCATTCGGGGTGGAGGCCAAGAAAAAGTTCCAAGTCTCCCTTGGCTACGTGGTGGAGCTGAGGCCTGCCTGGGTTACATGAGACACTGTAGCATTAAAAACAAACAACTAGCTTTTAATCGCAGCACTCGGGAGCCAGAGGCAGGTGGATCTCTGTGAGCTGAGGCCAGCCTGGGATACAGAGCAAGTTCCAGGACAGCTAAGGCTACACAAAGAAACCCTGTCTAAGAAAAACAAAACAAAAAAAAAACCTATTTTCAAGTATTGTTCAACATCTTTGAAACTCTGTAGACATGGAAATAATAGATATGACTAATTACATATCATTTTTCTCTATTTGCTAAATTTAGCTCCTCAAGTGTCAGTTCTAGTCTCTGATTTAATAACACTGTTATTAATAGATGGGATTTTATATTCTAAGGACTCTGCCTTGTCACAATTTGCTAGCCTTGTAACACAAATCTTAAAAGGTCTTATAATTAAAAAAAAAAAAAAACAGAGACAGATAGTGGGGTGAAAGCTGAAAGAACAGGGAAGCAGAATAGCCAGCCATTAGCTTACCTCTGTGAAATCCTCAGCCTCAAGAGAGCAAGTTCCTGTTTCCTCACGCCTTATATACCTTTCTGTGTCCTGCCATATTACTTCCTGGGATTAAAGGTGTGTGCCGCCACACCTGGCTCTGTTTCCAGTGTGGCCTCGAACTCACAGAGATCCAAACAGATCTCTGCCTCCTGAGAGCTAGGATTAAAGGTGTGTGCCATCGCTTACCTGACCTATGTCTAATTTAGTGGCTGGCTCTGTCCTCTGATCCCCAGGTAAGCTTTACTGGGACGCACAATACATCACCACAAGCCTGTGGTGAGCCCAGTTTGAGGGGCTGAGTAGAAGCGTGGTAATGGAGAGAAGGAGTACGGTTATAACTGGGCCACAGGAGCAGAGACCATCTTCTGGTTGAAGAAGGCCTGCTCTTCACATGAGTCAGCCCCGATGATGATTCTCCAGCTCCCACTCTGAGCAACCCAAAGAAACGCCTCTGCCCTTTGCATTTGTCCCGACGTTAAGTGCAAAGTCAGGGGGTGACACCAGATTTGGCCCCTTCCCAGGGGAGGCTGGCTAAACGGCAGGGATAAACCCTGACCGGAGAGCTTCTCATCCAGGGGGTCCAGGTGGACCTCAGAAACTGAGCCCCTGGAGCCAGGCACATGCGCGCACGCTGTCACTGCAAGGGTTCGGCTTATTTACACAAGCTGGCTGCGAAGTGTTGCTAAGTAACCACATCCAGTGTTAAAGGCCAAAGTTGACACACGAGGCGGGGAGGTGGTGAGAGAAGATCGTGACTCAGCAACACCTGCTGGTCCAAAGCCCGCGTCCGTCCTTCCTCCTGCTTCTCACCGGGATGGCGAGGGTGCCCTGCAAAAACGCAGAGCTGTTCTTCATGAAACTAAACTCACACGCTTAGGCAGGCATGAAGCACATGAGGAGAAAGCCAGCCAACGGCTGGTCCTGCTACTGCGTTAGCCAGCAGAGAGGTATCTCAGCAGGGAGCCGCACAGGAAGACTTCCTCGCTCCGCCTCTCTGGAGAGCACAGTCCTTCCAGCTCACCCAACCAGGAAACACAAGCGAAGGGAATCCTAGGAAATACGGTCCGGTCTATGACAGGGGACAGACACATTGCCAAACTGCTACACCATGGCAGATGCCTTACCAGACCTCGATGGACACAGCCCATTCAGATGCTGATCCTAACTTCCACAGTGATGGGATTAGGAGGTGGAGTCTTAGGGAGGAGCTCAGCACAGTTAGTGTGCCGGAGCAGAAGGGACCGGAGTAGGAACTATAAAAAGGCTACACCCTCCACTATACTACCTTACCTCAGGCGCGGCGCTGCTTGAGGGATGTTTGTTGTGTGACTGACCGAACTTAGCGTGGTTTGGTTACGACCGTCTGATTCTGTGCCTGGAGACAAATCACACATGCACAAATGTTCTCCCGTGCCACAGGTTCACCTGCAAACAGAATCCTTCAGATTCTAGTCTGATGTGTCTGTAGTTGAATGACATACTGCCCTGAGACTTGCCTGAAATGGAGGATAGGTATATTTTAAGGGTTTTTTTTTTTCTATTGTTGTTCATTTTGTTTTCTTTTGTGTGTTTGTTTGTGTTTTTGAGACAGGTTCTCACTATGTAGCGTCCCTGGCTGTCCTGGAACTCACTAAAGTAGACCAAGCTGGCCTCAAACTCACAGAGATCTGCCTGCCGCTGCCTCCTGAGTGCTACACCTGACCTATTTGGGGTATTTTTAAAAAGATGTATTTGTATTTATGTATCTGAGTGAGTGTATGCCACGAATGTGTGGGTGCCCACAGAGAAAAGAGCATCGGATCTCCTTGGAGGTGGATTTACAGGCAATTGGGAGCCACCGGAGTGGGTGCTGGGATTAGAACACAGACAGGTCCTCTGGAGGAGTGGCAAATGCCTTTAACCACACTGGGCCATCTCTCCAAACCTGATGTCTTATTTTTAAACATCTGAAGAATGAAGAGAAGCCACCAAGGTGTTACCACCTAGAATGAATCGAGGACCAGCAGCAGTCACAAATTCTTTCCATGGGGCTGGTGTGGTAGCGTGTGTGTGTGTGTGTGTAGGGGGGGTGCGTGACACCCGAAAGTGGCAGCTTTCTGGCATCCGCTGCTTCATTTCCGACGCCACTGGAAACCAATCCCCACAGCGAATATTTAACAAAGGCTGTTAAAGTCGTCGGTGCGGGGGTTTCCTGATGAGCTCTCCCAGCCGAGGGAGCCTCAAGCTTCAGGGTCCGACCCAGCAGCTGCTGCAAGTTACTCTTGCGGAGTTGTTTTGATTTTTCATTAGGAAACGAGGAACCAAATTCCAGGGACCGATGAGTCCAAGCTGAGTTAACAAAGGAACAAGGGCAAAGTCAAACAAAACTGCTGACCGTGCCAGCCCCTGTGAAGGACGCTGCCCTTGATCACAAGGTTAGGAAAAGAATTCCCTCCGAACCACCTCTCCAAAGAA